CTTAAATCGATTCCCAGGGTGTAGGCAGCCACCTGAGCCACCTTTGTGTTCATACCTGCAATTAAATTAAAGATAACTTATTGTAAGTATACCTACCTATAGGAAACCCTTACCCTGTCCCATTTCAATGCCTCCATGGCTAATCACAACGGTTCCATCCACATGATAAATGGCCACTGTAGCCGGATACTGTCCAAAGAAGAAAATGGGATAGTCCATCACTGCCAGCCCAAGACCTCGTTTCGTCCAGCGATTCTTGGCATTATAAGTTTCAATCTCCTGCTTTCTCTGCTTATACTCCCTGGACTCCAGGAATGGTGGTAGCAATTCGGACATCTTATTGCCCGCCGCAATGTTTGCCAGTCGCACTTCAGCAGGATCCTTCTGAACTTCAAATGCCACATGCTCTATGATATTCTCCATCATGGCAATACCCTCAACAGATCCCGGGGCACGACACCAAGTAGAACTGGGGGCATCTGTGAGCACAGCATGGCCATTGTTCTTAAAGTTGTCTCCAGTAAGATCATAGCAATTGGTGGCCGTAAATTTGGAGTGACCCTCAATGGGACTTTCGTTAGGACTCCAGCCAGCGTCCTCATAGAAATCGTTGTTCAAGCCCACAATCTTGCCGTTGGACTTAACGTGGCATTGATAGTCGGAGCGACAAGCCCACCGCTTGCCATTGCAATCCATCATGGACTCCAGTGATTGGACGAAGCGAACCGGACGATTCAGCTTATAAGCAGCTAAGGAGGCGGCACAGGCCACCTGGTTGCCACGGGATATCTTTGCTCCATAGGCACCACCCAATCTGCGAACCTGGAATGGATGACCAGGTTAATGAACAGATATAATAATTCTAATGTTAGACCTACCTGAAGCTGCACATCCTTGACCTTAACCTGCAGCATATGAGCAATCACAGACTGGGTGTGATCCATCCACTGGGTGGCCGAGAACACCTTGAGTCCATCTTCAAAGGGAATGGCCACCGTGGTTTGGGGCTCCATGGTGAAGTGATACTGCAGACCCATCTCGAAGATGCCCCTCACCTCCTTATCAGGCTGATCCGAAAACTTGATCTTTGAGTCGGATTTGGATACAGGAACAATCCTTGATGGATCTGGAGTGGGAGAGGCAAACACATCTCCCAAGCTGGGCATCAATTTGAAGTCGGAGATGGGATTGCTGTAGCTGATCTTCACCAGCTTCGTAGCCCTTTGAGCCTGGTCAGCAGTTAGAGCTACAATGATTCCAGCTGGCTGTTCGGAGTGGCGCACCAATCCTGAGCAGAAGATCTCCTCCACCTGGTAACCAAAACTGGGCTCACAAAAGGTATTCGTTCCGGGAAGATCCTTCGCACTGTAGAAGGCCACCACTCCAGGTTCCTTGAGAGCGTCCGAGGCATCAATCTGGTCAATGGTGGCACCTACTTTGGTGGCCCCCACGAATGCACAGTGTAGACTATTGGAAGTGGTCAGGATATCGTTCATGTAGGTGGCTTCTCCCGAGCACTGGATCATGCCCTCTACCTTCTCCACCGCCTGGGTGACGGGGTAGTTCTTCTTCTGGGTCTGGAAGACTTGCATCCCAGAGGAGAGGGGCCGCTTCAGGATCTGGCCTCCACTTCGGAACTTCTCACCCACCTCTGCCTCGGGAGCGTGTTTCAGAAGGAACTTGTAGAACAGGCCACAGGCCAACTTGGAGCGGTAGAGGGGACTGGCATCCGGCAGCACTTCATCGGGCTTAATCAGATCCGCCAGTTTGGTGAATGTCTGCTCCACCAGTTTGGTTTCGTAGGGACTCTGCCCCACCAGTAGTTTTTCTATGACTGAGGCGTGGACAAAGTCTGGTCGAATTCCACCAAAGCAAATTCGAGCCGACTTTACTTTGCAATTGGTTTCCACTTCTAGGAGAAAAGCAGCGTTTACATAGGCATGGGCATTCTGGGCACGAGGCATGATCTGTTGAGGGGATTGTATTTTTATAAATAATTAAAGTTTCTAATATTTAATTTTACCTTATAGGAGTCGTATATGTACTTATCCTTGGGATAGGCTGGAAGTATGAATGCTTTGAGCACCAGCTTCCTATCATTTGTGCTCAGATATTCCGATAGGGACATTTGCTTCTCTTCAGTGGCGTTTTTCGCAGCCAGCACCTTAACATCCAAAGCCTCGAAGGATATAAAGATATCCGAAGGGAATTCAGGATGTTGCTTCTTAATAGATATATTTCCCGCCAAGGTACCAGACTTTAAAGAGAAGAAGTATGAAATAATATTCAAATAATAATAATTATACCAACATAACAAAAAACTTACATTTCGCACTGGAACATTAGCAATCAGGTCGATGTGACTCCACAGGACATTCAAATACTCAAAGCCTGGTCGCCTGGAAGTAGTCCAAAGGATCTCCATGGTCTGGGTGAGACTCAGATTAGCTCCCAGCTTCAATTGCTGCCCTTCAGAGCTGTGCTGATGCAGTTCATCCACTCCGTGCACATCGATAAAGTGCTTAATGTCGTGGGATCTTCGGTAGACTCCATGAGCCGTATTGCCAGCCACCAGCATGAACTCTTCCGAATCCTTGACCTTATCGAGGGCCTCAAAAAGTTCCGTTAGATTCTTGGGCCAGTGCCACTGACTTCCATCTTCGTAGACCAAAGTGGATGGTTGACGGCAGGTGCCACTGCAGGCTTGTCCCGTCTTCGGGCAGTTTCGAGGCTTTAGATCCTCAATATCCGCACACTCGGCAGGAATCCCAATGTTGCTGTCCACGGCAAAGGACTTCATGGCATCCAGAATGGGACGATAGCCAGTGCATCGGCAGATATTACCTCCAAAAGAGTTCTCCACCTCCGACATGCTAACCTGGCCATTGTTTTGCTGCAGTAAGCCATACATATTCATCACGAATCCAGGGGAACAGAAGCCGCACTGGGTGCCATTCAACTTGGCCAGTCGCTTCTGGATGGGATTGTAGCCGGTGCGCTGATTACCCAATCCCTCGGCGGTCACGATCTCCAGCTGGGCACAGGTATTCAGCAGGGTGAGGCACTAGAGAGAGGAAGGTCATTAGTGATCTATTGGAACTGGTGGGTACAGCATCTTTCCAAACCGAGTTCACTGCCCAACTGCGTTTCCCATCGCGAACCACACAAATACAGGCGCCACATCCTCCCTCTTGGCACATAAATTTGGTGGCCGTAAGTTGGGCATGCTCCCGGATAAAGGTGTTCAGGGTAATATCCGGAGGGAAATTAGTTAGATTCACTGTGAAATATAAAAGGTATTGTGGGGAGATGAGTAAGGCTCGAGCACAAAAAGTATACATATTTAATTACAAAAACCTGTATTTGAGCTCGTAAGAAACAATAAACAATAGGCATAGCATTTGGACTCTAATTTTTTTTCCCCTTTATTAGATACCGAAATATATGTAATTTCTGTTTAACTTTATTCGAGCTGCACAGCCCCTACATTTTGTGGATCTAACGGAACTAATGATATGCTTATGGTTTTTGAGTCGAAGCGTCACAACGTTCAAAAAGTAAACACCCCCTGTAATGACAATTTTTACCCTAACTATAGAACTTTAAAGATTACTTAGGAATTAGGGAATCAAAAATGTTATTATAGGAATTTACAAGTTGAAGTCTTATCTTTTGATTACTTCATTGATTTTTAGGGCACTGTTTTATTTGGCTCCTAATCGATACCTTGATTACTTCCACTCACCTGCATAGGGCACACCGTTGATTAAGATTTTCGTAGTCATTCTGCCAGATTTCTCAATAATAACAGGGCAACAACAATTTAAATGTCAGCTTCTGAAGTGTTTTCTATAAATAATTCAATTAGTTTAGTGACTTAGGCTGAGGTTTTCCATTATTTTTCATTTGCTGCTCACTTTTGGCTCCGGTCGCTGCGACTGCCGTTGCTCAACTGATCGAAAAGTCGCGTCTTCTGTTCGTTTTTTCGATTTTTAGATTGCGATTTCCTCGGCTGCCGTAAACAAACAAAAGTTAGTTTCGACACACAAACTCACATGTACATTCCGAGTGAGCTAACAACGATTTGAGCAGATTTTCAAGCTTGACGATCGACGTTAATTGCAGATTGTGTGGACTGGTTGCTCCCAAAATAAAAAACCTCTGCCTGCAAAAAAATTAAGAAAACAATATAAAAAACTGCCGGCGTCGAATTTTGCTTGTTGCTTTGCCATCCAATTCGTCGGCAAAGTTTTGGCAGCCGACAAGTAGTCACGATATTTGCGAAAATAGGTGAAAGGGGGCTTTCTTTCGGCATAAGAAGACCATGAGTACCCTACTAATACGATGATATGTTAGAGATAGTTATATTTATTTAAAATTAACACAAAATTCAAAAAATATACTTTTTGTTTTAGTTCTTTTTTATCTATTACTTTTTACACCACTCAAAAATAATACTATTCAGTTTTAGAGTAATAAGAATGATGTAATTGGAAAAAGCTACAGCGTTGACGCTTCGGTTGCTTATTCGAATAATTTCGCTGGTCATTAGATGACTATTCAAAACAGAAAAACTCGCTAATCTACTTTTAATTTTCGTCCAACACCATAAAAGCAATAATAAACAGGCGATCCGAATCACGTGTATGCTAAAAATAAAAAAAAGAGTGAGAAAAAATAGAGAATGAGTTAGCCGGCCGGCAAAAAATATTTGAATATGTATGTTTTTACTCTCCCATTCTCTCAGCTTTCGAAACAAATAAATAATCTTAAAAGCTTTGCCTGATAAATAACTTCAAGCAAAAACTAGACAATCAAGCTTTCGAATGATATTCGACATGAATACAATGTAGAAATATTAGTTTAAAGCACTTGTGAAGATAAGAATTTCTGTGCTCCTTCAAGACATGTTTGTTTATGTATTTAAATATTTGTATCATTAATCATGAAAACATTCTTTATAGTTTATTTAGGGGCTTGAATATTAATACATACATGTGTTATGTAGGATATATTATAATTATAGAACAGATCTATTTCAATTTGAATTCCGCGACTTGATGACCGGCATTTAGCAGCAAGGTCTCTGGAGTTGTGGGAGCCCCCAGACGAAGCCATTCGCGAGGAAGTCCTGCATCCTGACGAGCTGATTGGAGGGCCTGTTGCAAAGCGAATATTACACTGACAGCCAGACAGCAAGGTGGTTCCCCAGTGGCCTTTGAACCCATGAATCCCGAGCCACTGGGACGAGGATTGTGGACCAGCTCCACTCGGAAATCAATGGGAATGTCCTTGGCCCCCAGTGGCTTGTAGTTCCAGGTGCGGTTGGTCAGAAGTCGCCCATTATCACCCTCGTAGATAAGTAGCTCACTCAACCAGTAGCCCAGGCCCATCACGAAGGCACCCTCCACCTGACCGACATCTATCCAGGGACTCAGACTCTCCCCAGCATCTTCGAGGATGTCCACCCTCCTGATCAAAATATTCCCGGTTAGCACATCCATCTCCACCTCGGAGAGGGCCAGTCCCAGCACATGGTAGTTCTGCATATCCCCGGTTTTATAGTGATCCGAGGCAATCAGGTTGATCAGCTGAGCATTAGCCGCCTCCACGGTCTCCACCCAAGTGGCCCTGGCCTTCCTCACTGGCTTCAAACGTGCGTTAAGGGTCTCGCAGATCTTACGAACCGCAAAGCAGACACTCTCACTTCCGATGGCATAACCAGTGACCATCGAATTGGCCCCATTGATGGTGTCCGAGGACTCTACTTTGACGTAGCTCAAATCGATTCCCAGGGTGTAGGCCGCCACTTGAGCTATCTTCGTGTTCATACCTATAAAAGAAAACCTTATAAACTCTTAAATAACCTCTTTGAATACTCTTTCACATACCCTGACCCATTTCTATACCTCCATGGGTGACCACAACGGTGCCATCCACATGGTAAATGGTCACTGTGGCTGGAAATTGTCCAATATAGATAACAGGGAAGTTCATCACAGATAAACCCAGGCCACGCTTTTTCCATCGATTGGTAGAATTAAAACTTTCGATCTCCTTTCTACGTTCATAGTACTCCCTCGACTTGAGGAACTCCGGAAGAACAGTTGCCATCTTACTCTTTTTGCTAATATTGGCCAGTCGCACCTCAGCAGGATCCTTTTGGATTTCAAAAGCCACATGCTCTATGATATTCTCCATCATGGCTATACCCTCTACAGATCCCGGAGCACGACACCAAGTGGAACTAGGGGCATCTGTGAGGACGGCATGTCCAGATAACTTAAAGTTACTGTCCGTGAACTCATAGCAGTTGGCTGCTGTAAAAGTGGAGTGTCCTTGCACAGGACTCTCATTCGCATTCCAGCCAGCATCCTCATAAAAATCATTGGACAGTCCGACAATTCTCCCATTGCTTTTAACGTGGCATTGGTATTCGGATCTACAAGCCCACCTCTTTCCATTGCAATCCATCATAGACTCAAGAGTTTGTACAAATCGAACTGGACGATTCAACTTGTGAGCAGCCAAGGCGGCGGCACAGGCCACCTGGTTTCCCCGAGAAATCTTGCAGCCATAGCCTCCTCCCAATCGGCGAACCTGTAATGAAGATTACTCAATGAATAAAGCCTTATTCACAAAAATAGTCTTAATTACCTGTAGCTGAACATCCTTGGCCTTCATCCCGAGTGTATGGGCAATTACAGACTGCGTTTGATCAATCCATTGGGTGGCCGAAAAGACCTTAAGACCATCTTCAAAAGGAATTATCACCGTTGTTTGGGGCTCCATGGTGAAGTGATACTGCAGACCCATTTCGATGATGCCCCTCACCTCTAAGTCCGGCTTGTCAGAGAATTTGACTTGCTTCAACTTGGAAATTGCCAAGGGCAGAATGCGAGAAGGATCTGGAGTTTCCGCGGCGAACACATGCCCCAAGGTCGGCATCAACTTGAAGTCGGAGCTGGGATTGCTGTAGCTTATCTTCACCAGCTTCGTAGCCCGTTGAGCCTGGTCTGCAGTTAGAGCCACTATAACTCCCACTGGCTGTTCGGAGTAACGCACCAATCCCGAGCAGAAGATCTCCTCCGCCTCGTAACCAAAACTGGGCTCACAAAAGGTATTCGTTCCGGGAATATCCTTCGCAGTGTAGAAGGCCACCACTCCAGGATGCTGCAGAGCTTCAGAGGCATCGATCTGGTCAATAGTGGCTCCCACTTTCGTAGCTCCCACGAAAGCGCAGTAAACCGAGTTGGATGTGGTCAGGGTGTCGTTCATGTAGGTGGCCTCTCCAGAGCACTGGATCATGCCCTCCAGCTTCTGGACCGCCTGGGTTACCGGGTAGGTCTGCTTCTGGGTCTGGAAGAGCTGCAATCCCGAGGAGAGGGGCCGTTGGAGCAGCTCGCCTCCACTCTTGAACTTCCCACTGACCTCCGAATCGGGTGCGTGTTTCAGGAGAAACCTGTAGAGCAGTCCACAGGCCAACTTTGATCGATAGGCGGGACTGGCATCGGGCAATACTTCATCCGGCTTAACCAAGTTCTCCAGCTTGGTGAATGTCTGCTCCACCAAATTGGATTCATAGGGACTGTGACCCACCATCAGTTCTTCAATGTCCGTGGCATGGGTGAAATCTGGTCTAATTCCTCCAAAGCAAACGCGGGCGGACTTTACCTTGGAATCGGTATCTAGTTCTAGTAGAAAAGCGGCGTTCACATAGGCATGGGCATTCTGGGCACGAGGCGTGATCTTTCGAGAATACAACTTTTACTTAAAAAATTATTATAAGCTTCTTAAAACTTTTACCTTGTAGGAGTCATAAATGTACTTATCCTTGGGGTAGGAAGGCAATACAAATGCCTTGAGCAGAATCTTTCTATCAGAGTCTCCCAAAAACTCCTCTAGAGACATAGCCACTTCGTCATTGATTCCCATCATGGCAATCACTTTCACGTCTAGAGCTTCAAATGATATGAATATGTCCGATGGAAATTCGGGATGTTGTTTCTTAGTCGAGATATTACCCGCCAAGGTGCCAGACTAAAATTTAAAGTATTTAAACGACATTACAAATACTTTACTTTTCTTTACTCTACTTACATTTCGTACGGGAACATTGGCAACCAGATCGATATGGTTCCACAGAACTTCAAGATACTCAAAGCCAGATTGTTTGGAAGTAGTCCTTAAGATTTCCATGGATTCGGTCAAACTGAGATTAGCTCCCAGTGTCAACTTATCTTTATCAGAACTGTACTGATGCAGATCTTCCACACTGTTCACATCGATAAAGTGCTTGATATCTGGTGATCTTCTGTAAACACCATGAGCAGTGTTACCTCCAACTAGCATAAACTCTTCCGAATCCTGGATATTATCCAACGCCTCAAGCAACTCGTCCAGGTTATTAGGCCAGTACCACTGGGATCCATCTTCGTAGATCAGCTTAGATTGGCGACAGCTGCCTTTGCAAGCTTTTCCTGTCCTTGGACAGTTTCTAGCCTTCAGATTCAGATCCTCGATGTCAACGCACTCCTTTGGAACTTCAATATTGCTGTCCACCGCAAAGGACTTCATGGCATCCAGGATGGGACGATAGCCAGTGCATCGGCAGATGTTTCCACCAAAGGAGTTCTCCACCTCCTCCATGGTCACCCTGCCGCCATGTTGCTCCATCAGCCCGTACATGTTCATCACGAATCCCGGCGAGCAAAAGCCGCACTGGGTGCCATTCATCTTGGCCAGTCGCTTCTGAATCGGATGGTAGCCACTCAGCTGGTTGCCCAGACCCTCGCAGGTAGTGATCTCCAGCTGGGCACAGGTATTCAGCAGCTTGAGGCACTGAAAATCGATGGGAGAGGTAGTTAGTGCTGGAATGATCTGGCTGACCTTTGACCCACTGAATTCACGGTCCAGGTACTCTTGCCATCGCTAACTGCACAACAGCAGGCTCCACATCCTCCCTCCAGGCACATGAATTTCGTGGCCGTCAGTTGGGCGTGTTCCCTTATAAATGTATTCAAAGTTATGTCCGGCGGGAGGTCACTTAGGTTCACTGAGATACAAGAAAGAATACAAAAGGATCTATTAAGGACATTAAAACATTATTACCCGTATATGGTTGTCCATTTATGGTAAATGTAGTTGCCATTTTAATTTAATTTGTATTTTATTTTTTTAAACAGCTTAAAAGCTTTTATTGCTACCACGATCTCCACTCAACTGGCAGTTTCTAGTTGAGAACCTCCTAATATTAGAATTTACCATCTATACGCTAATTCAATATTTGCCTTTGTCCACCTCTAAATAAAGAGTAATTGCTAAAAAATCGTTTTAAATTGTATTTTCCCGCTTTAGTGATTTCATTCAACCAAAATGTTGCCATTTTTCGCTTTTGTTGCGCTGCAATTTTCATTATTTGCTATACCGATTAGCAGAGGTAACTGATTCCATTAGTTAACTATTCAAAACCATGAAAGCTCTATTTTTCAAAGGCTTAAATTCATTTCATGTTTTAAAATAAATTTTTTTGGAATTGCCTGCATTTTTTTATGGACCATTTTATCATGCATTTTTAATCCCCAACAAGCCTTAATGTTTTTGTATTATTGGCTCTTTTATCGCCTTTCGGATTTTGTATCTTGACGCGACTTAATTAATTAAATACATGTTGCCTCCTCGTTGTTTCCTTTATTAACCCTGTCCAAAAAGCCGAATAAAAACTGTCAACTCATTGGTAAATCATTTGTCAAAATATAAATCGATGTTTCCTTTTCGAAGAACGGTTGGACGGGTCAGCCACGAAAAAATGTTACATAATCATGCACAAAACATGCAGAACAAGAACCCAGATCCCAACAACAAAGCAGCCGTTCCGCCTTTGCACCTTATCGATATGCAAGAATCGTTTTCCAAACACAAAATAATAATCAGAAATGAGAGAAAAATGATGGGTAGACCTTAAGCAAGTAAAATTAAAATATGAATAACGCAATCTTTTCTCACATGGCTAAGCATTTTGGTTATAGGAATCGGAGGCAACCCGCTGTCAAACAGGTAAGCAGAGGGTTATGAGGGCGGGGGGAGGGGGTTTTCTGGGGGCCCCGACACTCCTTGTTGTTGCCGTTGTTATTGGGGGAGTGTCCATTGTTGTTTCTCCTTTTTTTTTGGAGCTGTCATGCATAATAAAATTCCAATATATTCGACCGTACGCCTTCGCCCTGTCTTCGTTCTCGATTGCGGATCCTTATTAAACAAGAAAAGTGACGTGAGCACCTCCATCTTACCCCATCTCTGCATCCAGTACAACCTCACCCCAGTCTCATCCTCACTTCAGATCCAGAACCCGACCCAAAAGATGATGCAGAGAGAGACCTGGTCAACTGTCGAGACATCCCCACACCCTGGCCAAGTGTTGGGTCTTATTGGCCAACGGCCATTTGATGTTCAGCAATGCGGCACGGATGATGACACTGACCCACTGATAGTCGGCCAGGCCGTACAGAAAGCCAGGCCAAGCCCAGGTCAGGAAGGCAAGGTGAGACGCCTCTCAGCTCATCCCATAAACATGCCAGCTCGAAATGTTCGCTCGCCTTGGGGCCTTGAGATTAGCCAAAGTTTCAGGGGAAACTTTTCGCACAGAGATAGTGAAAGAAAAAGTGAATAGATGAAGTCTAAAGTTGGGGAACTTCATTCTGCCCATCATAAAATATGGGAATACCCATGAGTCATATCTGTAACGCACCAGAGGATAGTTGGGCTGATTGTAAATAGAAGTGCATATGATATGGTTGGTATTTCTAGCTGCTCTGGTTTTATCTTACTTATAAATAGTTAATTTAATAGTTTATAAAGTACTTTTTTCAATAAGTTATATTGCAATGACTAGTCCGAAAAGTACATACTGATTTATTACCCAAAACTAGGCCTTCCATCATCCCTATTCCACTGCTGTAGAACAGCCAACCAACCAGCATTATTTTGTTAAAACGAGAAAAGCAGGGGCGACAGAAATAAATGGGTAACTACTCCATGGTGACACTGTTAACCCTTTGTCACTTCCATTGACAGTTCAATAATGCGTCATTTGGTGTGTGTCAGGGCTGTGGGGGAATGGGACTTTACGAGTTCTCCCCTTCCGAGGAGTAAAAAGGGGAGAAGTGTCACATCAAACTGGACAAAAGAAAGACTGGAAATTGCCAGCAGGTATCAAGAATCCTCATCTGGATAGGGAAGGACAAAGCCGGGTTTATTGGGGAGCTTAGGATGAAAATGGAAACGATTAAGTGCAACTTGTTTGGCAATATTATAGCCGGTGCTGATGTATTTAATGAGTTCTTAACTTAATGATGGGGCTCCTTTTAGACAATGAATGAATTACCAAATTAATTTTACTTCCCTTTTCTTAACAGTACTTTTGTATATTAAAAGCAAAACAAATTTTAATATTAACTAAGACTTGGTTTCGTTTAAGTAAGGACTATGTAAAGTACAAAGCATGCATATAAGGCTAAAATGAAATACAATATAATTGGTAAGAGTCCAGTTTCTAAGCAGTTAAAATCGTAAAAAATATTATTTTGTAATTTCTACAGTTTATGATAGTTTTTTAGTTCTCTTAGTAAGAGCATTCAAGTTCCTCTAACCCGCCAAAAGATTTTAGTGCTTGTAAGTAAGTATTTGTCTGAACTTGGCTATCTCCTTGGCTTTCATTGGCTTGTTGGCTCGAGCTGCGGCTCAAACTTGTGGACCTTCTCCCTGGCGAGTCTCTTGTCGCCTGTCGGATGTCACATTAAATTCGCATTATTTGCTTGAAATAATTTCGCGTTTATCGTTTTGGGCCAGCTTCCTCGGCGGACGAGGGTTAAGGGGACACATTTTAATGACTTTTGCTGCATTGGCTGGCAGCTTCTTTATGGGCCTTGTGATAAATGATTGCACTTGGGATAAGTTTGTGTGGCCAAAATGCCATTTAATTGATTCATCAGCGCTTCATTATTGATTAGCAGTGGTTTCGGTGTCGCTTTGGGTCTTGGGTTACCTTTCGATGGAGCCACCCAGGTGCAAATGGGATCGAAAACTGGGTTTGGTTGCTCTGCACCTGCCAAACCTCCCTCTGAAACTTGCCCAAAAACTGTCGTCGAGCTCATTTGCGGCAGACAAATGGTAATGAAAACACTATTTAACATTTCTATTTTACGAGTTCAACGGAAAATCCATAAAAACTCTTTAAACGGAACCCTCTTACCCCTCAGCCCTATTGGCGACAAATAAACAAATAACAAATTTTATATTTAACTGAAATGAGCTTTGCAGCCAACAAAGCAGACAGCGGAAACCTAATTGAAAGAAGCCACGCAAATTAAGTTAACCAAGCGGAAAACCAGGCCATTAAATTCAAACTCTGAGGGAGTGAGAGTGGGAGTTGGTCGGGTTCCATGGACATGGTTATGGAATCGGAATTGGAAGTGGAATTGGACCTAGAGCCGAGGAAACTCCACTTCTTCTCGGTCCGCTCCGCTGCGATTCGATTCGATTCGTTTCAATTCCTTTCGATTTATGGCATTCGCAATTGTGCGGCAATTTAATAGCAATTTGCTGTTGAACCCGAAAATTGACGAAACTTTGATGAAATGCAATTGGAAACTTGTCACGGCTCCACTGACTCTCTGCACTCCCTTCCGTCCGAGTTCCAAATTGTAACAATGGCAACAACGACAATAACAATAACGAAACATTTCGATCAGAAACCGAAAGTTAAGTGGGTTCGGTTTTATAGCAGGGCAGATGACATTAATTTCGACCAAAAGTTGATAAAAGATACAAAAAAAATATAAATCTTAAATTTTATTTTAGTTTTTGATAGGACACTTTAGATTGCAAAAGGTAAAACTTGTTGTGCACTAAATCTTTTGAATATAGTTGTCTTCTGTTATCTGGCTCATTTTCGGCTCTTATTTGATTTGTGCTTTTTTATGTCTGGGCCTACACAAATATTCCTTTTTTGCACAACTTGGCAAGGCGCCTACCTAGCAGATAAAGTCCCAGATAACTCAGCCGACGACGAACAGCAAAACATTAAGATACAAAGATAATATAAAACAAGACAGGGATAATCGAAGGTATTTAAATCGAAGTTTGGATACTCTTAAATTTAATGGTTAAAGGATGAAAACTTTGTTGATAAAGAAACTCCTAAAACATTATTTTCAATATTACTCTGTATTTTAATATAATCTGTAAAGTAATTGAAATTGTATTTGAATAGAGGAATTTTCCGTGACTTTCTTGTTTTTTGGCTTATTATTTATGCATAAACAGTGTACTTCCATGTCATATTCTACGAATGTCTACCCTTAACCTTCGTTTAATCTCCGGTTAGGGCATCAGGTGGATGAGACAGGGACGCACATAAAAAGTAGGCGCGATAAATTATTAAGTGACTGTGACGGGATGACTCCTGGCCCAGGCTGCCTGCTCCTCATCCTCCCCTGATCTTCTCCAGCCGGCTTGCCAGTCATCCTCCCGTGGTGTGGAGTGTGGAGTTTGTCACCCGAACAAGCCGTCCTTATCTTCGGATGACGGGCGTTATTTCTGTTTGGCTTTATTGCATTTTATTTTACTTATTTCGGCCTGTTACTCCACTGCCTTTCCTTCGGTCTGGTTAACTGTGGGAGCCAACAACTTAATTTTGTGATTTATTTTTTGCCGTTGTTTTTTTGCCGAGGAATAGTTGCGAGATGTATGCTGCCCGCTGTGGAGTTGCTTAATTTATAAAATGAGAAAAAAATTAACCGACGTTGATAATAAATCAATTTCCTGCCTACACATTAAATTATACAGTTAATAATAAGCCGGCATGGACCGGGCCCACGTCTGGAGTTGGGTCTGGACTGGGTTCCAGTCGCGATCCTGCCTTCTTCACCCCGTTCCAGTCTGCATCTCCACCTCGTCTGCAACTCACTCTTTATCTCGCAAATCCATTTGCATCTCATCAAGTTTTGGCTTAACACTCTGCTCGAGTCGCTCGATTGGCCTGACTGGCGATTCGGTTTCCGTGGATTGCGTGTCTTCGCCAATTTGTTGGCAGATTAAACAAATTTCCTGCCAACGGCCACGCAATTTGTATCCATAAACTCGTACTTGGGACCTACAGGTGGGGATCCTCTACTTTTGTCCAGATGTTAACCTAAATACTATTACTTAAAGGTTATTATAA